TTTTGTGCGGCTTTTTTTTTTTTTTTTTTGGTACCAGGGATTAGACTCAGGACCTTGTGAGGCAGGTGGCGACAGCACTGAGCTAAAACCCCCAGCCCTGTTATTTGTGGTTTTTTGAGACAGGATCTCGCTATGTAGTTTAAGCTGGTTGAACTCACTGTGTATCCCAGGGTGGGCATGAACTCATGGTGATCCTTGTGCCTCAGCCTCCTGAGTGCTGGGGCAACAGGTGTGTGCCCCTACGCCTGGCAGCAATACTTTTTTCTAATTCCAATCAATAAAGTTTGCACAACTTAAGTATTTAATCCAGAATAGTTTATAATTTGTATGCCACTGTAAATGATGTTTAAAAGTTTTCCTTTTCTTTCTTTTTTCTTAACATGTAGAAATACAGTTAATTTTTGTATATGTTTCTGTGCCCTGCAACCTTATTAAATTTATTTAGTGATAGTAATTTTTATCAACTTCAGATTTTCTATGTACTTAATTATGCTGTTTGCAAATTAGAGCAGTTTGACTGGTTTTGTTTTGTTTTTGAGCCAGGGTCTTGCCATGTAGTCCAGGCTGGCCTCAAACTCGCATGGTCCTCCTGCCTTAGCCTCCCAGAATGCTGGGATTACAGGCATGTGCCACTGTGCCTGGCTGTGATATATTATACTTTTATATATTCCTGGGTATTACATGTTAATATTTTGGTAAAGATTTTTACGTCTCTGTTCATGAAAGGTATTTTCCTGTAATATTCTTGTTGTAATATGCCTTTATTTTTTTGGTAACAGGGTTATGATTTATAAAATCAGGTTTGGATTCATAAAATGGGAAGTATTTCTGATTTTTCTATTTTCTGAAAGAGTTTGATGGTATTTACCTTCTTAAATATTTGATAGAACTCCCCAATAAATTATCTTGGGTTTCATGTTTTCATTGTAAGAAGTCTTTAAATTATGAATTCAGCTTCCTTAAAGTCGTAGGGTTATTCAGATACCTGTTTTATTCTATGTCTTTTGAAGACATTTCATTATAGTTTGCTATATTTCATTGTTCTTTTAACATCTTTAGAATCTGTATTGATTAAAAATCTATATTGGTGCTTCTTTCATTCTGATATTGGTAATTTTCTCTCTTCCTCTTTTTGTTTTTTGAATTTTTAAATTTTTATTTCAATGTAATACAAGTAAATATTAATAATTTTAAAAACACTCTTCTTCTATGAAAAATAAAGCAAAATTTCATAACAAATTAAAGAATACCAATAGTTAATAAACTGTGTACCATAATCTTAAAAGAATGGTAAAGGGCCAGGGATTTAGCTCAGTGGTTCCAGCACCTGCCTTGCAACCGCAAGGTCCTGAGTTCTATCCCTGGTACCAAAAAAAAAAGAATGGCCAAAATGTTAAGAGTACAAGTCATAGACAAAAAAGACTCTTACACAAAGGAAACAAATAGATAATAGCACAAAACTTTCTTTTCAGTGAACCAAGAGGACCTAGTGGTATAAATGAAATAAATTAGTATGTATATTGAAATATTTTTGAAACCACAGAATATGTAATTTGGGAAATTATTAGAACTCCCTATTTGCTGTTTCTCTAACCTCTTTCTTATTTTTGGCCAACCTAGCTTATTGATTTTTATTAAACTTTTCAAAAGGCTAATTTTTGATTACATTAATTTTCTCTATTATTTGTCTATTTCTATCTCATTATATTCCACTATTTATATTTCTTTTTTTCTACCTCTTACAGTTTCATTTGTTCTTCCTTTCCTAGCTACTTAAATTAAAAACTTAGATCACTGATTTTTTTCCCTTTTTTGAAACAGGGTCTTGCTATGTAGTTCAAGCTGGCCTTGAACTCATTATGTAGCACAGGCTGGCCTTGAACTCTCAGCAATCTTCCTGCCTCAGCCTCCCAAGTGCTGGGATTACAGACGTGCTCCACCATGCCTGGCTAGACCACTAATTTTATTTTATTTTTATTTTGTTTTTTTATTTTTTGGTACTGGGGATCGAATTCAGGACCTTCTGCTTGCAAGGTAGCACCACTGAGCTAAATCCCCTGCCCTAGACCACTAATTTTAAAATGATTTTGTTCTTTTCTAGTATAAATATTTAGACCTATAAATTGGTCTTTTAAAATTTTTATATATATCACAAGTTTTGTAGTCTTTTTCATTGTCAACTGGTTTGAAGTATTTCAAAATTTCTCATGTGAGTCTTAGTCACTTAAAAATACTCAGTTTCTTCTTTTACCTAACAGTCCTAGCCCATTCTCTTTTTCAACTGCATTCATTACATATTTCTTTATAGTTTTATATACTTAGTTTCTGATGTTCCTTATATGTACCTATTTGTTTTATGTACATTTTTTTTCCAGCTCTGGAGATTGAACCCAGAGGCATTCTACCTCTGAGCTACATTCCCAGCCCTTTTTATTGTTTATGTTGGGACAGGATCTTGCTAGGTTGCCTAGGCAGGACTCAAATATGCAGTCCTCTTGCCTCAGCCTCCAGTGTGGTGAGATTATAAGCATGCAGCGGCTTATTGTACTTGTTTTATGTACATGATTCCCTAGATGAATGGTGCCTCCTCAAGTACAAAATTCTCACTCAAGATGGGTTTGTAAAGTTTTTAGTACTTTGTATGTAGTTGCTATGAAATTAACACACATTGTAGCCACCATTAATGTGAGAATTACTGTGGATAAATCCAAATCCCCTATAAGGAGTTAATTAATTTTTTAAAAGATGACTACTAATGACACAAAATGGTAAATGCATGTGTGAAGGTCCTCGGGTAGAAGTGCACATTGTCCTTTTGGAGGTGAGGGAAGAAAACAGTGTGGGAATAGCTGAGAGAGAAGTCAGCGTTATGGTACAGAGGGTTCTGATAATCAAGCTAAGGATGTTGGAGTCGTGAGTTTGGCACTTTCTTCTGATGGAGATCTGTGATGCTCTCCTGGTGCCCATTCACTTCGGTGCATCTTGGACGACATGTACACTCTTCCACTCTGTCCTCCTAGCCTGATCCCTGCTGATCAGTTTACTACTCACACTCCAAGCAGCACGGGAAGAAGTTTCCAAGCCAAATCTCCCACTCTGAACTTGGCCTTGGGCACTCTGTCTTCTGAGGATTTCCTTTCTAGGTAGCTTCAGTGTGTGTAGATGTGGTTGGGCAGGAGTGTGTAGATACTCCCTGAAGCAGCAGTTTTGTTTTTTTTTTAAGACTGGAAGCTGGGAGTTATGGTATTTTGGGTTGTTTCCAGGAAACTCTGGTCAAACTTTACCCTTTCTGTCCCCTCAGAGTATCTACAATCTTACTTAAGAAAAGGGAAACCACCTTATAAATAAACATTGTAAGGCAGAATAACTCAGGCGTCTTTCTTCGGGAGAAACAAAGACTACTTCTGTCTACAAACCAATTTTGACATTGACACTTTGTACTCATTCATTCATTCAGGAGTCTTTGTTTTCATTGTTCCTTTCTGACATAACTGGCTGGGAACAGAATAGGCATTTTCATTTTACATATTTTTCCTAGAGGCCTTTTATGTGCATAATATTGAGATAGATTTTCTCAGACAGAGGCATAGAGGTGGTCCAAGACTTGAATATAATCCCAGGTACTTGCAGTAGCGTTGGGACAGAAAGGCTACTTATGTGGGTGATACCAAGCATCAGATTCAGATGCTGGGTACTCTGGGATAGAGGGCTCTGTATGGAGGAGGCAGGTGGACATGTAAGGCTTTTTGGTGGGGGCTGTTTCTTTGGGCTTCCCAAGGCCCAAATCCATGCTGAAACAATAGCCATAAAGCTTAGAATTCAACATATTTCTAACTTAGATTTATTCTACCTGTAAAATGTTGGGGTTTTTTTTTTTTTTGGTACTGGGCATCAAACTCAGGTCCTTGCACTTGCAGGGCAGGTGGTGGAACTACTGAGCTAAATCCCTGGCCCTAAAATTTTGATACTTATACAAAGCCATTTTAAATAATACATTGTGAGGGATGGCTACTTAAGTTTTCAAAAGCCAAGTTAAATCACCTTCAGACCTTGGTCCTGCTGGATCTGTGGGACCAGTGTCTGCTCAGCCAGGCAATCATGAGTGGCAGCAAGTAGAAGAGAGAATATTCTGCTTCTGCTGGGTCCAGGGTTGGGTAGAGAGGTAGCTTTAGAAATCCCTCATCCCACTCAGAGCTCCACCTGCCTCTGGGGCTGGGAAGGCAAGGACTTTTTTGTCTTCTCTGCCTTGGCGGGGCTGGGGTGGGTGAGTCCAAAATCCATCCTTGGATGGCACGTCTTTAAATAAAATATGACTAAACTGCTCACCTAAAAGTCTTTTCTGTTAAATTGGGGCCAGCGACCCCATGTGGCATGTGCTGGCTGCTGACTCCCCTTCATGCTTTCCAGTGGCTAGTAGGCCCCTTTCTGTCACTCTGCAGCAGGTGCCTGGCTCCTGGCTCCTTTTTCAGAGATACCCGGGGCCAACTGGCCATGGGAAGAGATGTCAAGAGTCAGGCTTGGTGGCAAGTTTAAGGACAAACTGAAAAATCTTTACAGTAGGCCCTAGTTAAAATGGACCTGCACACGACTGTTTTCCCCCAGCAGTCTGAAGACACACCCAGAAGAGGATTGCAGTGGGCACATGGCTCCTCCTCCCTCTCCTGGCCTGACTTGGGCATAAGTGGAGGGCCAGAGAGAGGTTCAAGCCAGGCCTCCTCCCTCATTCATGCATCTCATTCCTGTCACTTCCTTCCTGTTTTGTGGCCCTTTGGCTTCTTCATTAGAAGAAGAATTCTTCATTGGGAAAAAAATCCCAACTCTTCTACAGCTGTATGCATTTTTACTTCTTCTATTTGTTCTCTTTGGTTGTCTTAAAGGTAAAGTAATTCAGGCAAGTCCTACTGTCAGCTTGCTATCCCTTCTGTCCCTCCTACTCTTCAGGCTTCAGGGCTGTTATCAGGGGTGTTCCTGGTCTGAAACCATGTTGTCTTTTCCACCAGAGCACGGATATCCTCAGCAACATTGGCTATGATACCATCATCCATCATTTGAACAATGGCCGCAAGAACTGCAAAGAGTTCGAGGACTTTTTGAAAGAAAGGTATGATGTTCCGTCCTCTCCAAATGGTGGGCCAGGTTGCCTTTACCCAAGCAAGGAATGGTGATTTCTTTTTTTTTTTTTTTGGTACTGGGGATTGAACCCAGGGCCTTCACATTGAGCTACATCCCCAACCCTTTTTGCTTTTTTATTTTGAGATGAGATCTTGCTAAGTTGCCAAACTGCCCAGCCTGGGCTTGGACTTATGGCCCTCCTGCTTCAGCCTCCCAAAGTGCTGGGCTTACAGGAATGCATCACCACCCTTGGCTGAATGTAGTGTTACTGATTGTGCTTAGCATTTCGGAAGATCTGCTGTAGTTACCCAATGATACTCAAGAAGTAAATGATATCTGTTCTGAAGTTCTCCAGAACCAGCCTGAGAGATAAGATTTATGAATGAAACAGCAAACAAAGTGTAGTAAATACACAAAATATATTAAGTAGTGTGGTATGAATGACACTGAAAGGCCCTGTGGGAAAAGGAGATTGCTGACAATTTGGAAAAAAAAAAAAATGAGACAAGGGTATCTTCAGGAAGGAGGAGATCCTTGAAGTGGCCCTGGCAGGAGGAGGAGCCTCTCATAGGTGCAGAAGTGTCTGATACCTGTGGGAGAATGTCAGGCTCGGAGGTGGGAATGAGTATGACCCGAGGGGTAAGAAGGAGGCACAGCCTCATTCAGAGCCCAGGAAGGTGAGAGAGGAATGGCAGAAGGTGAGGGCAGGACCATGCTGTCTTGCAGGCCCCAAGGGAGAATGTGTTTCATGTCTTTCTCTTGGCTTCTGGTATCACTGATCTGCTAGCCCTTGGGGTGTGCTGACTTGTAGCTCCATAATTCCCAAGTCTCCCTCCACCATCACATGGCATTCTTCCTCTGTGTTGTTGGACTGTCTTTTTAATTTAATTTTATTTTTTTGACTGTGCAGGTCAATTTTTTATTTTAATAAAATCAGAATATGCACAGCACATGCAATGCTAGCATCTAAACTAATACAATAAGCAATTATTAAAGCTACAGTGACTTGAGGTTCAATCTCTACATTCAGCAAGTTTAACTCCATTCTTACATGGTTTTTGAAACTTTAACTGAAAATATTGCTTGCTGATAAAATTTGCTCAAATGCTATTAGTGAATGTACAAGTCACTGATTATGCCAGTGCAACAAAAATAGTGCAGTTCACTGAAAAAAATACACACAACTAAACAAAACTTAGACAACAAATATCTGAGAATCTGGACATTTTAGTGTTTTGAAATGTTTCATTAATATTTTAAGACAAGTGTATCAAAACCTTGGCATGATTTAATTTCAAGTCACCAATTTTGTTTTTACTAACATCAGAAAGTTATGGCTACCCTGCCAATGCCGGGTCTGCTTAATTTGACTTAAGAGTTTAATATGACAACATTAAAAGCTCATACTACCCCGAAATATATAATGTCACACATATGGTGACATTCAACATTCGAGTGCCAGTGTTTTTGTACTGCCTTTGGTCAAGTTTCTTTAAACTTTCAAAGAATCACTTTTAGGCTTACAAAGGTAAATATTTATCAAAATGTTCAATAAATATTACATAAAAGTAGCAGCAAAAAGTATCCAGAAATCTATTGTGTGCAAATAATTTTCTTCCCAACTGTCATTCCCATGATTCCAAATGAATTTTAGAATCTAATCCCATCCCCTTCCTAGACAAGCTGCATTCAATAATCTCCAAGAGACAAAATAAGATTTGAAGTTTTAAGGATACACACAGAAGATATATATATATATATATCTGAATGTGCAATAAAAGAAGCACTTTGTAAAAAGTTATAGGCAGAATGTACAAGAGCCTAAACTTAGACTAATTGAAATAGCACCATAACAATGACCTTAATACTGTCAAGTGCACTTACTTAAAAATATATTTAGAGCAAGGTACAATACACTTGAAAATCTATTGTACTTTAGGAAATTTTTATCATGTTCCTATGCTACTGTAAAAAGATTAAGCATTTTGATCACCACATTCTAACCACAGAACTAGCCCAGAATTCAAAGTGGCAGAGGTATTTAGTGGTGGACAATGCTCATCTTTGGACAGCATAAACAGACTATAAAAACAGTGGAAACCTATGCAACCAAAACTGACTTAACTGCACTGTAGAGCACAATGGACACTTTATGCAGTTATGTATATATTTCCAGCCTGTGTGATCTCAAAGATTTCAGTTTGTTACTCTTCTAGAGCCATTTTTACGAAGTCTGTGGAAGCCAGTTTAACATCTCAATGCAGCTTGGTCAAAGTAATGTGAATTGGCATGTAAAATAAAGCCTTCTGCATAATTCTTTCTATTCATATCCTTTTGACCAAAAAACAAACACTAGCATGTGTTATTAGACCAAAAATCATCCAGGGTCCTAATAAGGGCTGGTCAAAGGTGTGTCAGCCATTTTATCATTTCAATTTCACTTTTGGCAAGCATTTAAAAAGTGTAAGTAGATGAATTCTCCTAAAAACCTATTTTTTTTGTTTTGTTTTTTATTTTTAATTTTTGGTACTGGAGATCGAACTCAGGACCTTGTGCTTGCGAGGCAGGCGGCGGAACCACTGAGCTAAATCCCAGGCCCCTAAAAACCTATTTAAAGTTATCAGACCTTTAAACTTTCCCTGTAATAACATGTGCAACTTTGGCTAGCTCATAATTAATGATCTACCTAAACAATGAAAGAGGAATTGAATTGCTGTATTTACTTGCATTAACTTTGAAAACAGTGCTTTGAATGTATGCATGTGATTCATACATCACATCATGACTGGAATGGCTTGTTTAAAGATTGTCAGGTTCTAAATACCTATCCAGGATAGAGTGAGCAAAGCAGAACTTTAACTTAATATATTTTGCCACATTAGAAACTAATTTCATTAGTATGCTTCAAGATGTTTGTTGTTTGTTCTCCCCCAATCTGTAGGTATCAAAAAGTCCTAATGCAGGGTATTGCATATGTTTTTTCCTTATAATAACTATGGATGAATTGATGATTCCTGTTAAGTTGTATAATACTTGTGTGCTAAGGTTTGATTTTAGCCCAAGTTCAATAAATTTATTTTGTCAAAATAATTGATAACTTGAGCATTACTGAGCCAACAAGGCATTAAAATAAAAATTTGTCTAGGACTCACTAAATGGAAGGGGTGGATTGAACCTGTAGATGAACAGTGACTACTGGCGACCCCAGGGGGCTCCAAGGAGAAATGCATGACTGGAACAGAGTAGTGGACACAGAGACTGCAGTAGCTGGACTTTGAGAATAGGTTTCAAGATTTCTGAAAAAAGAGACATCCTGGAAGATGGCAGAGTGGTGAACAGCATAGAAATGGCCTCTCTGGGACTTGGTGTCCAGACCCTGGAATATAGCAACATAAGGAAAAGAAGGAAGGAAGTGGGTTCCTGGGACCCAGCAAGAATCTGAAGTGATAACTGAAGCCAATAGGGAGAGTGAAGAGAGGTGGCAAAACAAGGAGGTCACAAACAGCACTTTCTTCCTGAACCCTGACTCATTGTGTGACCACGATCAGAAAAATCTACACTGAGGCATATAATAGTCAAGATTCCAGAAATTCAGCATAAAACAATATTAAAGGGTGTTAGGGAAAAGAAACAAATCACCTATAAAGGAAAGCCCATCAGAATCATAGCAGAATTCTCAATACAAACCCTCAACTCAAAGAAAGCTTGAAGTATTTCAAACCCTAAAAGAAAACAACCCCCAACACAGATTGATGTACCCCACAAAACTATCTTTGAAAATTGATGGAGAAATATGATACTTCCATGACAAAGAACACCTGAAGAAAATCATGACCACCAAACTAGCACTCCAAAATATCCAAAATGTTTTAGAAAGAGATAACAAAGACTGTAACTCCATGAACCTCAATAGAATGAATCCACCAGGCAAGGCAAGCAATTAAACAGAGGGGCGGGGGGAGGAAACCAACAGAAAAATAACATGACAAGGATAAGTCAATACATATCAGTTATAACCATCAATGTAAAAGATCTCGATTCAGCAATCTAAAGAAACAGATTGGCAGAATGGATCAAAAAGCAAAATCCCCAACAATATGCTGCACACAAGAAACATTTAATCAAAAAGAAATTCATAGGCTGAAAGTCAAGGGATGGAAAACAATACTCCATATGTCAGGAACCCAGAAGAAAAGCAGGGGTAGCTATTCTATTTGCAGACAATGTGGATTTCAAGCCAAGACTGATTAAGAGAGACAAAGAAGGTCACTACATCCTTGTAAAGGGAAAAATCCAAGAGGAAGAGATAACAATCATAAATATATATGCACGAAATACCAGTGCGCCCACAATATAAAACAAATATTAATGCACATGAAAAATCAAATAACCATTAATACAATTGTAATGGGGACTTTAATACCCAACTGTCACAAATAGACAGATCAACTGGACAAAAATCAACAAATATCAGAACTGAACCAAAATTTTGAACAAATGAATTTATTAGATATCTACAAAATGTTCCACCCCACAACATTCTTCTCAGCTGCACACAAGGTGTTCTCCAAAATAGACCACACATTAGCTCTTAGAACATGCTTAAGTAAGTACAAAGGAATTGAAATTATCCAATGCATATTATCTGACCATAGTGCAATGAAATTGGAAAGCAATGGCAAAAGAAACCACACGTGGAAATTAAATAACACCCTCTTGAACAGCTAGTGGGTCACAGATGAAAACAAAGAAGAAATTAGACAGTTTCTATAATTAACTAATCATGCCAGTGTGACACACTGAAACTTATGGCATGCAATGAAAGCAGTCCTATGGAGAAATTTATAGCGGTGAAGTCCCATAAGAGAAAAATAGAGCGAGCTCAACTAAACAATCCGATGTTGAATCTCACACTTCTAAAAAAATAAGAACAAATCAAGCCCAAAGCTCATATAAGGGAGGAAATTATAAGGATCAGAGCAGAAATTA